CTCTCTCTCTCTCTTCCTCTCTTTATCTCTCAAGTCAACATTTTCTTGTGTTTTTTTTTTCCTGCTTTATCATTTGTTATTAAATTTTATAAAAAAATTCGTAACCGTAATATATTTTCTTTCGAATTTTCGTTGCTCGACAGCAGATAAAACAAAAAAAATGATTTCCTTCTAACTAACAGGAGTGGGAGGGAGGGGCGGGAGGGGAGGGGGGGGGAGAGAACACGTAGAAACATTTTTATATTATACGTACGTACAAAGTTTCAATATTTTCTTGTATTTTTTTTTTTTTTTTTGTAATAAACGATTACGAAATTATATTTCTTGGTTTCCATGCGTTAAAACAAAAATAAATGGGTTAGTGCAAAAGTAAAAAAGTCACAACCAAGTTGATTGAAATCTGATTATACTTTAGAGAATAAAAAATCATTTCATCGTGACGTTTTACCATTTTAATTTGGTCGAATTCGTGAAAGATTGGAGTGTTGGGTGTTGAATCTGGGAACTGAGGGGTTGGGGGTTGGAGACTGGGGGCTGGGGGGTTAGGTCACACCGATAGAATGAAATTAAGGAAGCTCAATACTGAATTAGGACAGAGTTGGAGGATTTATCAAGGATTAACTCTTACGAGGAGTGCAACTGAAGGAAGGTCCCTGGGCACCTCTCGTTTACCAAGTCGACGTAGCCATCACGACATCCTCTGCTATCCTAAGTCTTCTCGCGAGTAAAGACAGGAAGTGAGAGAGAAAGAGAGAGAGAGAGAGAAAGAGAGAGAGAGAGAGAGAGAGAGATAGTTAACTTTATGTGGGTTAAGCAGAATCATGGTCTTCTGGCCCGCTCAAAGGATTTAAAGGTCAACCATGCCAGGTATTACGGGATTTTAAAAGATAGCAGTAGAAAGGACTAGCCCAAACCCTTTTCTTCACCCCTCTCTCCTATTTGACCCCTACCTCAATGCAAACTATTAATCGAGTTGATCTTTGAATACTCCTTCAAATTCAAAACTTATCCTTACTTGACCCTTGAAAATCTCTGTTTGTTATATTTAAAATCAATTTTATGATTTCTATAATGTTCAATACATTTGTATCGATTTACGATGATAATATATTCAACGAGAAAGTATTATTGTTATTATTATTAACATAGAAATTAAACGTTAAACTATAAAAAAAATAAGTATTTCCATTTTGGATAACATCTTATTCATATTATTTTAAGTTTCTTTATTATTTGGTAACCCCGTTTTATGAGAAATCTTATATGAGATCGGATTGATATCGCGTAGTAATTAGCGCTTAGGTAGCGTGAAATTGTCATTGATTAATTTTTCTTTTCTATCTACTCTACCTTCCCTACTAACCCCCATGGCTATGAATCGAAATCGGTTTTACGAGGAGAGAAATCTATTAAAGTAAAGAAGATGACATTAAATTGAAAAATGTTCTTAGCGATAATAGCTGGCGCTGGCTTGTTCATAGCTTGTGCCAAAAAGCAAGGAAAATTCTCTGGGGGGAGGGTATCAAAAGAGAAAAAGAAAGAGAAAATGAAAAAGAAAAAAAGAAAGAGAGAGAGAGAGAGAAAGAGAGAGAGAGAGTGAAGCTGTGGTAACTCGTCCGAAGAGAGTACAGGGTGAAACCTTTAGTATTGGCGGCTGGCAGATTTATGATGGCAATATCGAAAGCATTAACCGATTGACGTATTGCTAACCGTAAAATATGCTATCTTCTTTTCCTATCCTTATACCATCTAGATTCACTGATAATATCTTAGATCAATTTTTCAACATTTTTTACCATAAATTCGAATATATTTATTCCCTCAAAGAGAAATTACTTCATTTTTCAAGCATATATTATATAATACAATAGATCAATTATATTATTTGTTTATCCAAAATTTCTAGTCGAAAAAGTAATAAAAGAAATCAAAATTTTTTTGTCTACAGAGAAAGAGAGAGAGAGAGGGAAAGTAGAAGAAAATGTTGAATTATTGTCGTGATCCTTAAACGATACTACTGTCAAGGACACGAGGGTGCTTTCTTAAAGGAGAACGATGTAAAGGGTGGATAAAAGAGGGAAAATGAAACTAGGAAATAAAACAGAGAGAGATAGAAAGAGAGAGAGAGAGAGAGAAGGACAAGGAGTGAGAAGAAAATAAAGAAATAAGAAAAAAAAAGAAAAATAGAGAGAGAGGGAGAGAGAGAGAGAGAGAAGGACAAGGAGTGAGAAGAAAATAAAGAAATAAGAAAAAAAAAGAAAAATAGAGAGAGAGGGAGAGAGAGAGAGAGAGAAGATAAAATAAAGATCGAAGATCTTGTTTGCTAGCTGTCAGAGTCAGTGTCTCCAATCGTGTCTACATTTCACCAGGATTATCTCGAAATCCTTCCCTATGTTGTATCAGAAACATATATATAAAACATATATATATAATACATATATACTATACTGTAATAATTACATCTATATAGTGTAGTTTTATTTAAGAAATTACATAAAAATTAAAGGAATGCTAAAATGAGAACGATATAATCATAAGTTTAATATATTAGATGCATTATTATTTTTATACCCATGCGCAACGTTTGGAAAAGCATGGAAACAACATTTAATAAATGTAATCTGATAAAGGACAATGTTTCATTTCAATGGTGGATTTCGAAGAAATGTCGTTTTTCTGAATATATAATTTGCGTAAATATTTTTATTATTTATTTCAAACGGATTATCATGATTTTTATATTAAATTAAAGTGCACTCTTTTCTCTACGCGTAGAATACTTTGTAGAGTTATAAAAATCAAATGTAAAGTGCAGAAAATGTCTGTGAATCCAATGCTGTAAATTGTGCATCTTTGCAATTTCTTTGAAAAGTTTTGGTAMATATTTTTTATACTAAAAGTGAATAGATTTTAATGATTTTTATATTAAATTAAAGTGCACTCTTTTATCTACACGTAGAATACAACTTTGAGTTATAAATCAATCTGCGAAGGTTCATAAAATAGCAAAGAATGTGATGCTGCAAATTTTTCCTACTTTGCCATTTCTTTGAAAAGTTTCGGCAAATATTTTTTATACATATATATATTATATAATGGATTTTAATGAAACTTATATTAAATTAAAGAGTACTCTTTTATCTACACGTAGAATAGCATTTTAAGTTATAAATCTATTCGCAAAGGTTCATAAAATGGCAAAGAAAAGTTTACGGACTAGGCATTGTTCACATTGCCTAAGGCCAGGCATTGTTAACATTGCCGGGGGAGGTTTGGAACCTAGGCCGGTAATGTTAACAATGCCTGGTTTTAGGCATTATTCACATTGCCTAATCCGCCAACTTTTCTTTGCCATTTTTTGAACCTTTGCAAATAGATTTATAACTCAAAGTTGTATTCTACGTGTAGATAAAAGATTGCTCTTTAATTTAATATAAGATTTATTAAAATCTATTCACTTTTAGTATAAAAAATATTTACCGAAACTTTTCAAAGAAATGGCAAAGTAGGAAAAATTTGCAGCATTGCATTCACTGACATTTTCTAAACCTTTGCAAATCGAATTATAACTCGAAAAGATATTCTGCGCGTAGACAAAAGAATGTACTTTAATTTAATATAAAAATCATTAATATCCATTTGCAAAAAGTATAAAAAATATGTACCAAAACTTTTCAAAGAAATTGCAAAGATGCACAATTTACAGTAGTGCATTCTCTGACATTTTTTAAACTTTTGCTAATCGATTTATAACTTAAAAATGTATTCTGCGCGTAGAGAAAAGAATGTACTTTAATTTAATATAAAAATCATGAAATTTCGCTTCCTATAAATATAAAAAGTATTGACGCAAATTATTCAGAAAAACGACATTTCTTCGAAATCCACCATTGAAATGAAACATTGTCCTTTATCAAATTACATTAATTAAATATTGTTTATATGCCATTTTTGAATGTTGCATATGTGTATAAAGGTAATAATGCACCTAATACATAAAATTTAAGATTATAACTTTCTCATTGTAGCATTTTTTTAATTTTTATGCAATTTCTTAAATAAAACTACACTATAAAGATGTAATTATTACAATATATATATATATATTTCAGCATTTCTATCGTACTATCTACCACTTGGCAAATATTTGAACGATTAATGTTTGATAAGTTTGATAGTTCATTAGATTTTACCAGCTCCTCCCCCTTCCCCCTATTAAGGTAACGTAATTTCCGGATTTAATATCGAAAATCTTTTGCGAACCGGAGATTTTTCGCGAACTGCTTGTTCGAATACATACATATATTTTTTTTGTTCCTCTCTTTTCTTGATCCAGAAATAGGGTGGTGGCGAGGATTATGGTAGGTGAAAGTTATTACGATTCGGTAGGGGAGAAAAAGAGGAAAATAAAAATGAAAAGAAAAGGAAAAAAAAAGTAACAAATGAAAGAAGAACTGGAGAGATAAAAATTGTACGTATCGTAGTAGTTTCAACGATCAATATGGAAATTTAACTTCAATATTACTCGATTACGATAGTATCTAACGGGATACCGAAAAAAAAAAGAAAACGTAAAAAATAAAAAAAAAAAAAGAAAGAAAGAAAGAAATACCATACAATCGGATGATCCTATCTATTTCTACTTTCTGTGCAAATAATCTTAAAGCCAATCATTTCGTTTTCTTCAATTGATTTTCTTTCTTTTTTTGTTTTGTTTTTTTTTTTTTTTTAAATTGACAACGTTTGCCACGAATACACCTTTAATTCATCGTACGTGTCATTGCATATGCATGCATTGATACATATTTAAGATCTATGAATAATTTACATTGCAAAATAATCGAATCAACATTGATAATATTATGCCAATTATGCGATGTTGAATTTATTCAATAATTTACTCTAATATATATATATGTATTATTCTATAATATTATACATTAGATTAGATAAAACAACTATTATGAAAATGATATTAAATTCGAGATAATAATACTTACCTTAGGTCACCTTTTTGTAGAGAAATCTCCTCGAATACTATTTGAATCCTCTCCTTGAGTCTAAAACAAATGGAACAAAAGTTTTATTATTAATGTAACTTCGACTAAACTTCAATGAGAGAAGTTCGGAAGAACATTTTGGATAAGAAGATTCACAACTGACTTATGATAATATGGACATGAATTCAAAGGTCAAGATTATTCTTACAAGAGAGCACGTTACAACACATTTATTTTCAAATATCACAATAAAATGATTTGTTTTCTACACGTATATGAATAAACTTAACACGAATTTAGAAAATTGTTTAATTTACCAGATATAATTTGAAAATCCTTACGAATAATTTATCGTATTACAATAATATGTTAATGTGTTAATTATTACCTATTATTATTGAATATCATTAAAATCATTTGCCTAATTATTCATATTTCAGAAGATTATTCAAAATGTACAAAGAAATAAACAATCAAATTTGAATTAACGAAACCGATCGATAAGCGAGATAAATTATCTGTAATAGCATTTAACGCGCATTATCTTTTTTTTTACTATTCTTCAATTTAAAATTAGATGTTTCCAATATATATAATTTTATCCCTATTGAATATAATTTGATTATATTACGATGAAACAATTTGATATTTAATTATAACCGATTATATATATATATATATATA